TAACCAAATCAGTATCATACAAGGAGAATCTATACAAAATGATGTACAGATAGCATCTGGCACCCTCTAGATTGGCTAAAATATTTTGGACAGCCAATCCTTGCTGTTGGAAATGTAAAGGGAAATTTGGTACATATTTTCATTCATGGTGGACTTGTCCTGAGATAAAGAAATATTGGTTAAAAATAAAAATGTGGATAGAAGAAATTATTGAGTGTGGGCTGGAGTGGAAATCGGAATTATTTTTGTTGGGAATGATCAAAGGGGACTACCCCGCTAAAGTAAAATATCTGACCATCCATTTATTAACCGCGGCACGTATTTCACTAGCACAATATTGGAAAAACCCAAATGTGCCACCAATACAGGTTGCTAACCAGAAGACATATGAGTGTGCCCAATTGGAGAGGCTTACGATTAAAATTAATGGGAAGAAGAATACAGATTACTACCGAATATGGGATAAATGGTATAAGTGGGTAGACAATAAAAGAGGAAACATGTAAATGAACCTAAGATACAAATTATATTCAGTGGTCTATATTATATTAAATATATAAAAACAAAGGTTTTAAATCTTTTCTCTGTTACTACTATTATTATTATTAGCCATTTATAATATTTTTTTGTTTACTAGTTAAAAAACATGAATGTATTCGTAATAGAAGAGTAGTTATAAACCAATGTGAAAATAAATGGAGTATATTGTGAATTATTTAGTACTTAGGATGTGATAAGGTGTGAATATGTGACTAGTACTAGCCAATAATGATTTTAGGACTCACCAAATTCGACAACAAATGTAAAAAAACTATAATAATAATTTATTGTTTCTGTTTTTTTGAAATTGTACGTTTTTAAATTTGTAAATAAAATTGTTTTTAAAACTTAAAAAAAGAGCATGAACTCCTGAAGAAAGTCAAGTTACAAATGTACTTCAAGAACAAACTAGTCACCCCTTGGGGAAAAATGGTCATCAGAAAAATCAGGGCAGTTCCAGTCGCTTTCTGGGCTATGCTTCAGGTTCTGCCTCTCTGTTGTTCTAACAATGAGGCCTCTTTCTTCAGCTTTAACAGATAATCAGAGTTAGAAGGGACCTTATAGGTCATCTAGTCCAACCCCCCCCCGCCCAAGCGGGAGACTCTACACCATTTCTGACAAATGGCAGTCCAATCTCTTCTTGAAGGTCTCAACTGATGGCGCTCCCACAACTTCCGAGGGCAAGCTGTTCCATTGGTTGATTGTTCTCACTGTCAGAAAGTTTCCCCTTGTTTCCAGGTTAAATCTCTCCTTGTTCAGTTTCCATCCATTATTCCTTGTCTGGCCTACAGGTTCTTTAGAAAATAGCTTGACCCCGGACTTCTGGTTTGTCGGCTTCGGTGACAGCAGGGATTCGCTTTCTCTGCGATCCCTGCTGTGCTAGCCGCCTTGGTGCCTCTGATCCTGATGGATTTGGAGGCTAAGGCTGCCCTGTTGGGGCAGCTGAAGAAAGGGGGGATCCGGACAGGGGTTGAGAGGTATCACAAACCCCCCCCGCAGCCGGCAATAACCCCCTTCTCTCAAGACGGTGGAGCGGCAGTCTTTATGGCCACCATAAAGAAGCCGGCAACTGGATAAAGAATGTGCAGGAGGAAGAAGAAGGAGTTTTAAAACGAAAGTTTTTTCTTGGTCGAACTGGGACCTTAAGGACATATTTAACACCTGGGAAAGTATTGGCTTGGACGCTACAATGTTCCCGATTGATGTTTTCAGCTGCGAAGAAAAGTGACGAAAAGGGGAAGTTACTCTCCCTCCCTTATGGAATTAACAAATGGACAAGGGAAACTAGCCTTTTGATAGAAGGTAAAACCTAAACTCCTTTGTTATAAGTGGGAAGGGAGAGGCTTGGGAAAAAATTTTTTTTACTCTAAGACTTTGCTGGAGGAGATGCCTTGAAGATAAAGAGAATAGAAATTAATTCTAAAAAAGATTTAAAGCTTCAGGTTCTGCCTCTCTGTTGTTCTAACAATGAGGCCTCTTTCTTCAGCTTTAACAGATAATCAGAGTTGGACGTTTTTTCTTTCCCTAATTTGACTTCACCCCTAGAAGAGAAATTGTAAAAAGAAGAAGCTTGTACTCTGCCTGGACTGTTTGATGACTGCGGGATTTTGGGACTTTTGGGAACTGTTTTAAGTTTGGAAATAACTGATTGGCTTAATAATAAGAAGAGGATACAGAAAGAGAAGAAGAAACAGTTCAAAATGGCTCTATCTCTTGATGAACTAAAAAAACAATATTTAAAAATAAGGAAAGAAGGCAAAGATGTTATGGGAGAAGCCCTTTGTTTCCTAGATATGGCGCTTGTCATGTGTCAGCAAATTAAACAACAGCTGGAAGAAGCCGAGGAAGAAGAAGCCATTTTTAATGAACTAAACGGTGCGACTAAGAAAGAAAGGAGAAAGAGAGGAGCGAAAAGGAAGGACTTAAGAAATAAAAAAATATTTATGAAAGAGAAAAAGAAGATGCAAAAACTACAGAATGCTAGAAAGCAAAAGGAAAGAGGAATGCAACAGAAAGGGGAAACCAAGAAGGCAGAGGTTTGGAGAGGAGGGGGTAAAAAGTTTAGGCGGGCTAAGAAGGAAAGGAAAAAGGGGGGGAAAAGTTACAAAGGTATAAAACAAGATGGAGAAAAGAAAATTTTTTTTAGGGATAATGGGTAATATATGGGTTTTTTTTTTTTAAAAAAAGGGGGATTCTGCAAAGTACACATGAGTATTGTAATAGTGGTATTTGTATTATAAGTAGATAATCAGAACTTTTTAAGATCTAATAAAAGACTAAAATATTAAGGTATAACTTTAAAATGTTTAATAATGAATGATATTAAGTTTTAATAAAATACTAAAGGGAATGTTTAAAATATTAGTTTAAATATAGAGTTTAATGGATTAATGTGTTGACTGTTATGGATTTATTATTGTAGTATTGGTTTCTGAAGTAGTAGAATGTACTAAGCAGAATCTGATTGGGATTTAGGTGTTATTTTAAATTTTAATTTAGGGGAATGATAGAAAGGCATCATACTCCGATTAGTGATTCCAGGGGAAACTATTCTTTTTTAAATTGGAAATGAGACAGATGTAAATGGAGAAATGGACAAAAGATATAAAAATATTTTTCTTTAAAGCAAGATTAAATATATAAAACAGAATTAAGATGAGGCAAAAGTGGAGAGGAGTTATATAATAGATATAGAATGGTAAACAAGATAGGTAATGGTATATAAGAAGAGCATGAATTCAATTGAAGTCCATACAAAAAGAGGTAATCTGGGGCCAAGTTACTTTCTAGAATAAAGTTTTATGTTTTTATGTTTATGTCTTATGTGTGTGTGTTTAATTAAGAATTAAATAATAAAATCTCGGAGGAAGACTAGATGAGAATAATTATAAACAAGCCAGAGGAAAATATAAATGTGATGATTGAATAGCAGATAAATTAGAAAGGAAATATGATTGAATAATGATTAAAGAGAAACAATGTGGAATTTGGTAAAGGGAATTTACGTGTTTATATGGAAATGGGATAAATTATAAGTATGTGATATAAAACAATATGTTACCTGCCTTGTAAAGATTTACAATGGAAAGAGGTTTTATGTTTTTAATGTTTAATGATGTTTTGTTTTGTTTGTTTGTTTGTAAAATCAATAAAACTTGTTTAAAAAAAAAGAAAATAGCTTGACCCCGCTCCTCTCTGTGGCAGCCCCTCAAATATTGGAAGACTGCTATCATCTCTCCCCTGGTCCTCCACTAGACTAGCCAAGCCCAGTTCCTGTAACCGTTCGTTGTATGTTTCAGCCTCCAGTCCCCTAATCATCCTGGTTGCTCTTCTCTGCACTTTTTCTAGAGTCTCAACATCTTTTTTATAGTGTGGTGACCAAAACTGGATGCAATACTCTAGGTATGGTCTTACTAAGGCTTTATAGAGTGGTATTAGTACTTTCCTTGATCTTGAATGTATCCCTCTGTTAATACAATTTAGGATTGCATTAGCTTTTTTGGCAGCTGCTGCACACTGCTGGCTTATATTTAGCTGGTTGTCCACTAAGACTCCAAGATCCCTCTCACAGTTACTGCTATTGAGCCTGGTTTCACCCAGTCTATATGTGTACTTTTGGTTTTTCTTGCCTAAGTGTAAGACTTTACTTTTCTCTATATTGAATTTCATTTTGTTTTGTTTGGCTTGCTCTTGAGAAAGTCACGAGCAATGTTCCAATATGTCACTCACACACCATACGGCTTCCCTTTGCTGCATCTCGTGGTTTACACAGAGAGAGAGATCGGACGGAATCTGAGGAGGCACAGGATCCATGGAAAGCCAGCAGTTGACAAGGAAGATCCAGAGATCCTTTTTTCTCCCCTCTCTCGTGGCTGAAGTCTGAGAGCACTTTGTTTCTTTGGCACTTTGGCGTTATTTTTAATTTAATCTCCAAGACTTACGTTCCCTTAACTGAGGCCCTTTCAGTTGTTTTAACTTACCAGGCTGGATTTCTGCAATTATTATTTGATATATTGTACCACCACATTCATAGGGGATTAAGATGCCCTGGGACGGTTTGTATTTCCAAGGAAGGATGCACCTTGCCCCCAGAGAAAGAAAGGTATTCTCCGTCACCATCCGTAGGTGTTTCTTTAACAAAGGCTCGATGTGCATATCCCTTTGTACTGTGAAATGCTTGTGATGTAGAGATGGTGGTACCCTGAGAACTGCAAACAGCAGACCCCTTTTTCAGGAATTTTCTATTTTGCCAGAAGCTGATTGTATCTACCACCACCCCGCCTCTCCCAAGAAAAGGGAAAGAGAATTCAAATGGGTGTTTGCCAAATGCACTATAATCAAAGACATTGAACCCAGCTAGTGGAAAACAATTCTCTTGAATCAGAGGCCTTTGATATTAACTTGAAATACATTATGGCAGCCAGAGCCTTCCTGCCCACTGGGCTTCCTGTATGTTTTTGTCCCATTCTCTCTCTTGCTTGCAGCATAAAGCACATTTTGTAGGTTTATGCCTCTCCTTGGCTCTGCCCCCTCCCTTTCCCCTTCTGTCCTGAGGTGTTTTTCCCGAGCCGGAGCCACTCAAGCAAGGCAGAACCAGGACTCTGGGAAGCCTGCTTGCCACACAAGAAGGTTTCTCCGAAGGCCCCAGGGCTGTAACTCCCTCACAAGCTGCAGGGAAGGTTTATGGCTTCTTCCCTGCACGGAGTCCAGCAGTTCAACCAACCTGTGGTTGAAATTTGCTTTCTCTTCCCAGGCCACCTCCTCCCCCGCCCCCTTGCTTCCTTATCACAGGCCCCGGAGAACAGCCAAAATCAGCAAGTGGAGCTACTACAGGCTGCAGAATGAATTTCCTGTTGGGGAAGGAAGGAAGGGTTAGTCTCTGTTGTGGCTCTTCTGAAGGGCAGCTCTTGGAAAAAGCTGCCAATTCTGCACATAGGGAGCACTGATCTTGGACACCCCACTCTCCCGCGCCCGCCCCCCCACTTCCCTTCTGTTGGATAATTTGAACTACTTGAATTCAGGGAATGGACACACATTTGCCTTGGTTAATGTCCAATGCAATGCTCCCCTCCCTCCAGTAGCTGAGAGCTTAGAAGCCAGCTCTTCTGTGAAGATCCTCAATACTGGCACTCCTCAGGGCTGTGTATTGAGTCCACTTTTATTCACTATTTATACGTCTGATTGCACCTCTATTCATCTGAGCAATAAGATCATTAAGTTTGCAGATGATACAAGGTTGGTGGGGCTCATTTCTGATAACGATGACTCTGCGTACAGGGATGAAGTTCATCAGCTGTCCCTCTGGTGCAAAGTAAACAATCTTATTTTTAATATAAATAAGACGAAGGAATTCATAGTGGATTACAGGAAGAGCAGTTCGGATATCCAGCCGTTGTATATCGATGGTGTCTCGGTAGAACAGGTGGCAGAATGTAAGTTTTTAGGTATCACCCTGAAACAAGATCTAACATGGGGGGCAAATACTTTAGCCCTAGAAAAAAAGGCTCATCAACGACTGTATTTTTTAAGACTTTTAAGATCACAACAACTGCCAGAGAGTCTGTTGGTTACCTTTTATCGAAGCTCTATAGAGAGCATTTTATCTTATTGCCTCTGTGTGTGGTTTAGGAGTTGTACAGAGGCGGAGAAAAGGGCACTCCAAAGAGTGATAAAAAGGGCACAAAAGTTCAGCGGATGTCCTCTTCCCTCATTGGAGGAGTTGTATAACAGGGGATGTAGAAGGAAGATACAAAATATCTTGAGAGATCCTTCACATCCAGGCCACTCGTTGTTTGAGATCCCACCATCAGGAAGACGATATAGAGTGCTGAAAGCCAGGACAAGTAGATTTAAATATAGCTTTTACCCAAGTGCTGTGATCAGGTTAAATGCAGAGTTATGAATCTGGTGGTTTTAACATAGATATATCCTGGTCGTACAGTTTTTAACTGTTATTTGTTTTTAATTTGTTTTACATTGTTATTTGTATATGTCCTTTGGTGTTGTTCAGTTGTATGTTGTGAAAGAGCACCTTATTTCGTTGTTCTCAGGTTTCTGAGTACAATGACAATAAATTTATCTTATCTTATCTTATCTTATCTTATCTTATCTTATCTTATCTT